TTTGTCTTTTACAATAACATCATTACGGTCCTTTATCTTCTCAAAATGATCCCACACTGGTGATCTGGAATCAACATGTTTCCTCTTCTTGTCAGGAACAGCAGCAGGAGGTTGCTCATTCTGTTGATGATTCTCAACAGTTTGGGCTTCCACCCCTGAAGGTCTATCAATTGAAGAGTTGGAAGGTCGACTACCAGGCATACTGATATTTTCCATCTAAAAATGGTGAACTATCAGTAAGCATAGGTAGAGTTCATATTCAAGAAGAATAAACAGTCTCATAGTCAGCATACAATTACACAGAATCACAGAAGCAGAAAGGATTCCAGAATCAGACACATTATGTGTTATCATTTTAAAAGAATACATAATTATTTATTTATTTTATTTTATTTGTCATTAAGATTTAAGGGCATTAAGGGGGGGTTTAAGGGCAAACATCCATAAACTTGAGTACTTGACATTTTTAAACAAATCCAGATTCAGGGTTTTTATTTCTCTTTCCAGAGAGGCAGACACTGTTATACAGTTATGGCCTCATGTTCATCAGGCATCATTATCTGGATTTAGGGGGCAAGGGCTTCCAACAAATCAGTATATCACAAATTTCAGAGACTCAGACTCAAACATTTCACAAACTGACAGTATCAAAGTAGGTTTGCAAAAAACACTCAATAAGTCAGTACTTCCACCAAATATTTACATAAGTGGAATAACATATCACAAAATCGCATAACAAATCATCATGCATCAAATTTAAAAAACTAGGGTTAGAAGATTTACTTCGTTTCTCACAGATACCCCGGAGAACAAAGGCTTCTTTTTACGAATATCACCAGTAGATGTCACAACACCAAGCACCAGCAACAACGCCAACAAGGGCTTCCACCAACACCTGAGAGACCAGACCACCGGAGTACCGGACTACACAACGGGTGGTTGTGGAACTAAGAGATTGAGAGACTAGGAGTAACGGAGTATCAGAGAGTGGGAGAGAAATCTCAGATGAGACTATGAGAGTATGAGAGAATGAGAGAAACAGAGAAAGAAATCTCAGATGAAACCCTAGCTTCGACTACGCGATGAGCAAATGATGAGAGATCTGATGGATTAGGCTAATCAACATATACATATACTTGGTCTAAACGAAGACATATCTAACACAGCCCTAGGTAACCCTATGCTTAATCGGATATTCGGACGGGTCGGGTGACTTAATTCATCCCCCACTCCGAAACCTCTTTACACGACGTCGTTTTACGGGGCGGTTCGGTTTTCCTTCGTCGGGTTCCGTTCTCAACGGTTTGGGTAGACTGGACTTCGGTTCGGTCGGGTTCTTCAATTTTTTCGGGTCCTGCACAACCCTAAATTGTAGAATTCGTCCATGAGTTTCGGTCATGCTCACTCTTCGTCCTTAAGTTATCATTATCGTTGCACTTTTCGTCAATGAGTTATAGAGTAATTGTAGAATTCGTCACTGAGTGTTGGTCATGCTCACTTTTCGTCCCTAAGTTATCATTGGCGTTGCACTTTTCGTCCCTGAGTTATGCTAAAATTTCAAATTTCGTCCCTAATCACTACTACATAAATGGTATATTATGTCGCTTAATATACGGAGTTTTTTAAATAACAACCGTCTAATATACTTTGTTATACTACGTCACTTGATAGATGACAGTTTTTTAAACAACCGTCATATATACCTTAATTAAATTTTTTATGTCATACACTTTAAATAACCACAGGTGGTTTTTTTACACATACATGGTGGTTTTCAAAGTGTCGCGTGCGTAAGTGACTATCGTTGTAAATATACATTTTCTACTACGGTTTTGGAAACCACCGTATGTGTTAACTATATATGTCGGTTAAACAACTGTCATGTATGTCAACTATATACGGTATTTATTTAAACAATCGTCGTCTATGTCATTGAATTTGAGCGGTTCAGTCGGATGGAGAAGCCGGCATGGCTCCTCCGTTTGGACGGAGAAGCCATGGCAGGCTTCTCCATCTAGTTCCGTCCAACTGAAGGAGAGGCCTTCATGGCTTCTCTGTCCGGTTGGACAAGACAGAGAAGTCAGATTGTGGCTTCTCCTTTGAGTAGGGATGGCAACGGGGCGGGGAATGGGGTCCCCGTCCCCGTCCCCGAAACAGATCCCCATTCCCCGTCCCCGCCCCGTTCCCGAACGGGGATGGAGAATTATTCCCCATCCCCGCCCCCGCGGGGATTTTTTGGGGACGGGGAATCCCCGCCCCCTTTTTGAATGATGCAATGAAAAAAAAAAAAAAAAAAAAAAAAAAAAAAAAAAAAAAAAAAAAAAAAACAAGAAATAATTTACCGGCAATTCAACAACAATAATAAGTAATTAATAAGTTAATCAAAACAAATTAAAACTAAACTAATTAACTAATAACTTAATCAAAAGTACTGAAGTAAAACAAACCAAAACTACTGTTGAGTACTGAACTAAATGAAATAGCTAATAAGTTAATAAAAACTAATGGACTAAGTAAGTTCATTAATATTATATATATTATAATATTTTGTTTTACTGGACTAATTAAGTTTATTAATATTATATATATTATAATATTTTATTTTTATTACAGAGGCAGTCGGCACAGGCAGGGAGCACTACTATGAATGTTCATGAATGTTTTGTTTTTAAGTTTATTAATAATAATATGTATGTATATATGTATGTATATATATATATATATATATATATATATATATATATATATATATATATATTTATTTATTTATTTATTTATTTATTTATTTATTTATTTATTTAATATTATACTAGGAATTGGGGACGGGGACGGGGACGGGGATCGGGGATCGGGGACGGGGCGGGGGATGCCCTCCCCATCCCCGCCCCCGTTCCCCGAAAAAAATCCCCGAACCCGCCCCCGTCGAGGCGGGGACCGGTTTTCCCCGTCGGGGGCGAGTTGAATTGCCATCCCTACCTTTGAGAAGCTGACAATCTGTTTTTTTTTTTATAACAATTATTATATTATTATTATTATTTTAATTTTAAAGTTTATTTTTAAATTATTTTTAAAAACAAATTCAATTTTACCTACTATTATCTTGAGTTTACTTGTAATATAAGCTAATTGTACAAATTTAAGAAGTTATGGGCTAAACTGCGTAAAAGTGAAGAGATGAAGTGTCTAATTGGAACTTTTATTAGTTTAGCGGGTTTATTGCACTTTAGCTTATAGTTGAAGGGTCTACTTGACCCTTATCCCATTTTTTTTATTTAGATAATTATAACTTTGTATTTATGTATTGATCATATTTTTTAGGATTAATACCACAAATGGTTCTCTGACTATTGGGGTAGTACTCATTTTATCCTCGACTTTCAATTTAACCAAAATTCATACCTCGGCTTTCATTTTTGACCACAAATAGTCCTTTGTTAATTTTTCTGTTAATTGAATGTTAAATTTAAGAGTATTATTGTCAAATAAAAAACAGTTAACAACAAGTCCATTTGAGCTTGGTGAACGTAATGTTAGTGGAGAAAAGGTACAGAGAGCTCTGGAAATTAAAGCATTTGACACTAGATTTTTTTTTTTTTTGGATCAAATGCTTATTGGATAATAATAATAATAATAATGTAAAATAAAAATACACATGGCATCCTAATTAGCAAAAACTTGTTAATATACTAAAAATGCTAATTGTACCTTTTTTTCCATGTTCATGGATCAATTAACGTTTATTTGAGTTTGGTGGCTTAATTGCTATCCCCAAATAGTTCAATTGCATATTCGTACCTTTTCCCTTTTTTTAATGTTGTTAAATACATAAGTTTAAAAATTGTATTATTAAATATAAACTATACCATTTTAAGAATCTCATCAATACAATTGAAACAAAACTAATATTGAATATATATTAATTAAAATTTCAAATAATATTTTTTAAAAATTAATGTTAAATGTACTAAAATATTACAGAGTATTATTTATATCATAAATTATATTTATATTAAACTAATTAAATTCAAACTAATAAAGTTTTAAATTTTGAGAAACCAATTAAATTATTTTATTGCAGAATAACATTTGATGTAGAAATTTAGTATAATGAGTTGGAGATAAATAAAATTTGGTGTGAGAATATGTGTGAGAATATTCGTTTTAATACGACATTTGATGGAGATTTTTGGTATTTTGGTGTAAAATAGGTTAGAGACGGCCTTATAAACATATAATTCGAAAGAAAACGTGTCACTTTACATAGCGTTTGGTTGGAAGGAAGGAATTAGGGGGAAATGAATTGTAGTTCCGTAGAAGAAGAATAAAGTGAAAATTTAAATTACATTGTTTGATATGAAGGAATACAATGATTGGAAATTGAAAAGAAAGGAGTAAATACTAAAATGTCTCTATATAATAATAAAAATATAATAATTATAAAATGATAAATTTATAATTTATCATGAAATTACAATTCCATAAAGTGTGAAATTACGATTCCATGATCACAGGAAATTGTAATTCCGTAGAATTACAATTTCATGAAGTTTGTAAAAATGAAATTAGAGAATTCCATCCTACCAAACACCCCATTATTTCAACAACAAATATTAGTGGCGTATATAGTACGAGAACTATTTCATCGTTTCATACTTTCATCATATTTGTTTTCACAAGTGGCCCATGATTAGACAAACATCAATTCATTCTTGTAGAGTTAATTAATAAAAAGCAGCACACAACTGCAAATGCAACACTTCAGTTTATTCTGAACTGAAAGTTGCCATTTTTAACATGCAACTATTTCACGTTTGGTTTACAGAATAGGCCTGGAATGGAATAGCATTCTCAGTAATAAGCATATTCCTTTGTTTAGTAAAAACATCCATTCCCAAGAACATTGTTTGTGGGAATGACCTATTCCCCAGAGGAATGTTAACTTCAATCTTGCCAGAATCCGACTTTTGTCCGCTGAGACTACTACAATACAACAAAAAAGGTTAGAAAAACTAATGGAATTTTGATTAGTTTTCCAGAATCTAATACTCAAAATTGCTACCAATGATTCAGCCTCCTAATGGCCGCAAGTAAAGAGCTATCACCAACTGACATTTACACAAAATTACCTATTTACATTAGCAGTGTCCTAGATAATGGCAATTCAAGAACACAAGAACTAATATGCTTAGTAATTTAACAAGTGGAGGGTCACTGATGTGCGAACATAATGTGATGAGATTCTCATCCAAGAAAAAGTCGACGCCTAGCTGACTTGCTAAAGTTGGGAACCCGCTCTTGCTGTTCCTTTTCGGAAGCACTAGAACTACTTGAACTGCCAGCAAAATTCTCCCCGAGCTTTGCCTCACAGCTTCCTTTAGAGGATCGAAAGAACTCGGTGATACTGAGCTGAATACCACTTGAGGACCCTGGGTTTTCAGGAACCCCCCTTCTTCTTTTTCTTCTTGATTTTAGTTCCTTCAATCCCAAAGTATTTTACACAAAGCATTTTAAAAGGCAACACAAAATCCAATAACACAGCATTATAAAACGGAAAAGAATTCTCACCTTTTGTTTCAAAAATTGGTTGACCTTTTCTGGAAAAGCTTTCCAAACAAGTTCCATATCTTCATCTGTTGACAAATAGCAGCAACCATCCTTGATATGAATCTCCGGTCCATCAGGCTCTTCCGTAAGATCAATTACTTCATCAGCTCTACCAGTTTCGTCGATATGAATTTCCAACCCATCACCATCTTCTTCTATGAAGTCTTTCAATTCATCAGCTCTCCTAGTTTCTTGATGCGTACTAGGATTTTCGGAGGTAACTGTGTGGATATCATCAATCATTGTGTGCACTGATTTCCCAGGCTCTTCTGGGAAATCTATCAATTCATCAATTCTCCCTGTTTTCTTAATATGAATCTCCAACCCATCAGGATCTTCTGTTAAATCTATCACTTCATCATCTCTCCCAGTTTTCTTGAAATGAATCTTGAAGCCATCGGGATCTTCGGTTAAATCTTTCACTCCATCAAGTCTCCCACTTTCTTGATACATTGTGTGCATTGCTTTCTTCCAAATGACCACATAAAATTGATGGCCATATCTTGTCTTCACCCGCTTAATATAATCAAACTCATATTGTCCACATAGCAAGAGATTTTCGGAATTTGAGGCAATGTCTCTCAAAAACAAAGTTGATAGCATCGGAAGCATTCTCTTTCGCGTATACGAAGGCTCCCAATGCTGATGATAAGCTAAATAATCAACTAGCATTTCAGTTTTTGGATTTGTCCAAGATATATGGCAACCGTCATCTGCCAAAAGTTGATCAAAAGTAAGATAGATGACAGAGCTTGAATGAATGATCTAATGGCTAATGGGCATTGGGCAATATACCGACCCAGACCTTATACACATTACATAAAACAAAACGTAATGAAGTCTGTGTATGCTCACCAACTCTGTTGTCATTGTGCAAGTAAATTTTCACGATCAAATCGTGTGGAAAGTCCTGCTCCAAGGCAATCTTTCTGCAGACTTTAATATGCCAATTTTCATTCTTTCTCTGTTCCTTTTCTTTCCTATCCTGCCATACAGATATAATAGCACTGTCAGAAAAGACAAGAAGAAGAAAGTAAAAGCCTAAGAGCATCCACAACAGCAGTTTTTATTGGTTTTTTTGCCATGTGGAAGAGAGAGAAGGCAGGAGAGAGAAGGCCAAGGTCTCCCTGCAAGTGCATGGTTTTTTGTGGGACCCGGAGGAGAGAGAAAAAGACAGGCGCTGTGGTTTCCTCCCTCCTCTCTCTCCTAATTGGCACCTCAAAAACCGTGAAAAAACAAGAGCTGATGAGGATGCTCTAATAAGAAACACCCCCCCCCCCCCACCCGACAAAAAGAATTCAAATGTACCATGTCACATGACGAGCAACTACACTTAAAGCCTGGTGCTTTTTGCTTGCAACCCTCACCACCACCATCGCTACAGTATTGGCAACGAGACTTGAGGTGAGCTCTCTTGCTGCCTGGATGTCCACAGAATGAACAATGCGAAAGTTTTGGTTTTCGAGGAGAATCCTCTGAACTGGGTACAAAATCACCTTCTGCACCGGCAATACCATGTAACTCTGGGGTTTCTCCTTTCCTTATTTCACATAACCTGTATAATAGCAACACTATGGTAAGCAATACTGGCCACCCCAAGATGAACATATTTTATGCTCAAAAACAAAAAGAAATTCACAATGCTCTACCCCTCCACCCCGGTGCAAACAAATTTTCTCATACAAAAGATTGAATGCGAGCATAAACCTATCTAGAATCTCATCATCGCTGAAAGACTTGGCAAATCGATGTGCAGTCTCTAAGCCAATACCAGGTATCCCAGGTAGATTGTGGTCATTTCCTACCAATAAAGAAATGGCTATCAATTGTTTCCTTCTCAGCCCAAGACCGGCCTCGATATCTGATATATAGTAACACTCGAATGGTTCCTACAAAAAATGAAATAGATTATGTCCTTGTTATATCAAAGAAGAACCAAGAAGGTTTTCTCAAATATCAACTCTGAACCATCACTGAACTCTGCCCCTCTTTTTTAGTTTTTACTTTTTCCTTGACAAACATCATAAAAATAAAAATTAAAAAAAATTTAAAAAAAAAAAAAAAAAAAAAAAAAAAAAAAAAAAAAAACAGGTTTCCTGCCTTAGATTCACAACATGAATTGACAAGCTCAGAAGAAGGCAACAAAGTACTTACTTTGGAGTTAGGTTGGATATGTTTGATAACACATTTAGCTCCAAAGAGAAATACATCACTATCAGCAGTAACACAAGCATCAACCTGTCCTTCTCTATTAAGCTGTGCACAAAGTGCTTCAGCTTCCCCTTTTGCATTTAGAACAGGCATCCCAAGAAGTTCGAGCAACTCCTATAAAATACCACTGATTATATTTTTAAAAAACATTCAAAATATGCTAAATGCATTTATATTGTTATAATCTAAGATCTAAGAATAGGCCAAGGTCACTCAACTGGGTTATAATGCAAATGGGTCAAATCACATAAAAGACTGAATTCAATCAATTAGCTAATCTAACCTATGGTCTTATAAACCCATATGTTCTCTCTTATGTTTCAATGTGGGACTCTTAACACTTATCAACAAAAAAAGGTGGTAATGGTTTTGATATTAGTAGAACCAAAAGTTTCCACAAGATCAGATCATCAGAATAACTGGTGTCCCCAGGGTTAAGAAACATAATAGTATTTGCTACTCCATATGTTTTATGCGCCATTCCTTTCTGCCGCTAATAATGACTTACCAAAGGATAAAATAGACGTGGCAATGGATAATAACCAAATGGACATCATCAGAATGGAACTATAAGAAAATTATACTGATTCTCAACAAAAAGTACGTAATTCCAATGAAATTTAAAGAGACGAACTCACAACACATTCCTGCACATGCTTCCGAAAAGCCTTGTTCCTCTCAACTGAAATGCCCTTTTCCACTGCAGGCAGACTTGACATATCAATCCCTGATGATCGAAAGAACCGCATAATCCTTGCCTGAGATTTGAGTGGCGATGGAGTACCATCTGTCACAAAAACCGGAAATGCCCCGAACTGCAGATCATCATAGATAAACACAGCCCTCAATATAAAAGTTCAAAGATGCAATATTCTTTTCTTTCCAATTAGTACTTAAACAATGTGGCATAAAAACCCAAAACCAGGATAGGAGAAACTGAAAATTAATTACTCCTATTCTAGGTCAGATACTTTACTAACTTTGTCAACTGAATTTGATGGAAACAGCTAAAACATATGCATTTGTACACAAATAACAAAATACAAATATATTTACACATTTACATGTAAACACTCATATCTCATATCATATTAGTCATATACATATATATGCAGAAGCACACCATTTTACTTCAAAAAATAACTTTCCATTTTTCCAATTTCTTGAAAAAGACAGTCTTTTTAGTATTGGGTCCTAGTGACTGAACGAGTTTACCGTGGAGAAGAGGTTGATGGTGCGTAAGAATGTTAATCTGATGTGCGGGTTTCGCGTGTTTCCTTTAATGGCAGTTTCGTGCTGGACGATCCAGTACGAGAGGTCCACGGCAACCCGTTTGTTCCTCAAGAAATCGAAGCCTTCGGGTCGGGCATAGGGCTTGAGTAAATCCCAGAAGTTGCCTCCAGCGCCCATCGATTTCACCGAGAATGTACTGCCGAGAAAAAAAGGGATTTTTGGCGGGGAAGAGAGACTGTCATGTCATCACTCTCTGCGAGAAGATGATGAAAGTTGAAAAGAATCGGTGGAATGTTGGGAGTTGTTCAGTTGCTCGAGACTCGAGAGTTGAGAGAGGATTTAGGGCCGTTACACGTTAAATTATTTCCAATCCAAAACTTTCAAATTTTACATCAAAAATAATATTTTAATAAATTACTAGTATTTGCACCCGTGCGATGCACGGAATGGATTTGTTAAGAATATATGAATTTATATATAATTATTTAAATTATAACATCAAATATTATATAGTGCAATTAAAGATATGGTTTAGATCGTTTATATATTTTGATGATATCATTTCTTGAATTTGTGCAAATAATTGCTCAAATTAATAGCTAATGTCTAGATGTACGCATGCGGTGCTATAACTTTAAAGATTTTATTTATCATTGTTTAGTATTTTCATAAATTAGGCAAATGTGCCCGTACTCTAACAGCTCAGTTATAGAAATGAATTGCTATCCTTATTCATTTGTATGGAAGATTTTTTTTTTTTTTTTGTCTAGATATATAACAATTTTTTCATTTAAAAAAAAAAAAAAACTTAATATCACCGATTATATTTACACATTATTGAAACCTCTTTCTAGACGACATTGGTAGTGGCAACACAATCTTGTTCAGCTTCATCTAGAGCTAACACCTTCAATCCAACATGACAGGTTACTTGGATGAAAATATATAAAGGTAGAATCTCAATTAGTTATCCTTTTATATTTTCAGTCAATTAGAATATCAAATGCAGTGATATTTTTACATAATTTTTGTTCCATTTTTAATTGATGATGTAGATATTATTATTGAAATATTTCCGTTCTACTTTTACTATTTTTTAAAATATGCATTTACTATTGATAATGTAGAATATTATTATTGAAATATTTCCCTCCAATTTTTAATTTCCATTCCATTTCTTAATTAAAATGCAATGATCTGACCATTTCTTTTTTTTTTTTTTTGGTCAATTATGGATCATTTTTTATTTGCAGTCAATTATTAATATTCATTTCCTCTTATAATTTCAGTCAATTAGTAATATTAGATTCATTTTCAGTCAATATTTATTTTTTATATTTAGTCAATTAGTCAATTAGAATATAGATGCAATGATATTTTTACCTAATATTTTCATTTCATTTTTAATTTTCATTGACTATTTATAAATAGTTATGCTGTGAAACCGTGTCCACATTGCAAGGTGGACACAATTCTATTTTCATAATTACTGAACTATATGTTCATAATTATAAAACTATATATTCATAATCTCTGAACTTTATATTCATAATTATTGAACTCTATATTCATAATTACAAAACTCTATGTTCATAATTATTGAACTATATGTTCATAATTATAAAATTATATATTCATCATTTTTGAACTTCATATTCACAATTATTGAATCTCTATATTCATAATTACATAACTATAAGTTCATAATTATGTTTACAACACTATATTCATAATTATAGAACCATATATTCATAATTTTTGAACTATATATTCATAATTATGAACAATTTTAGAACCGTGTCTACCTTGCAAGGTGGACACGGTTCCACATCGTAATTTTTCAGGTCAATAGTACTCAAAAAAAAAATAATAATAATAATAATAATAATAATAATAATAAGAGCCTTTGGACTTCTCAATACTTACCCACGTTGATGGTCAAACAATTGTATTTGTAAGAGAAGTAATATATAGAGGAGTTCAAGAGCTCCTCTTTCCAAACATTTTCAATATGGGATCAAAATGATCCAACATCATTTACAAAGGGAGTCCGTGGCTCCCTTTTGTCTTCTTCTTCTTATTTTTAATTTTAATTTTATTTTGTATATTGTTTTGTTTGTATTATTATTATTATTATTATTATTATTATTATTATTATTATTATTATTATTATTATTATTATTATTATTATTATTATTGATAAATTCGTCAAAATTTTAACAAATTCGTCATTTTAACATTTTAACATTTTAAATTTAATCAAAACATCAAAAAAATTATATAATAACTTGCGTTAATCTTTCATAACCCACCACTAATAATAAATAATAAATAAATAAAAACTAAAATAAGAAGACAAAGTTAAGACTTCTTAAATAAGAACATTTTGACCTCTCAATATTTGTCCATATTGATGGGCAAGCAATTATGTTTGTAAGAGGATATTGCTCTCTCTTTTCAAACATTTTTAATGTGCGATCAAAATGATCCCAGATCATTTACAAAGGGAGCCCGTGACTCATTTTTTAAAAAAATTTTAATTTTATTTTGTATATAGTTTTGTTTTGGATTATTATTATTATTGTTGTTGTTGTTGTTGTTATTATTATTATTGTTGTTGTTGTTGTTGATATTAGTTTTGTTTTGGATTATTATTATTGTTGTTGTTGTTGTTGTTATTATTATTATTGTTGTTGTTGTTGTTGATATTATTATTGTTGTTGTTGTTGTTATTCTAATTTGATTATTTGACAAATTCGTCAAAATTTTAAGAAATTCGTCTGTTTAACATTTTATATTTAATCAAAACACCAAAAATATTATTTAATAACTTAGCAATTTGATCCAAACTGCTAAAAACAAAAACAACTCATATACGTTTTGGGTTAATCTTTCTTAAACCCCCTAATAAATTTAAAAAAAAAATTTAAAAAAAAAACTAAAATAAGAAGCCATTAAGATAAGGTTTCTTAAATAAAAGCATTTTGACACGTTGGTCTTCAATAGGTTGAGAAAGTATACATGTAACAGGGTCAATCGAATAGTTATGCTGTGGAATTGTGTCCACCTTGCAAGGTGGACAGAGTCTATGGTTATAATTACTGAACTTTATGTTCATTATTATAAAGTTATATATTCATAATCTTTGAACTTCATATTCATAATTATTGAACTCTATATTTACAATTACAAAACTCTATGTTCATAATTACTAAACTATATGTTCAAAATTATGTTCACAACACTATGATCATAATAGTAGAACTATATATATTCATAATTATGAACAATTTTAGAATCGTGTTTATCTTGCAAGATGGATACGTTTCCACAACACAAATTGTCGGATCAATAGTACTAAAAAAATTAAGAGCCTTTAAACTTCTCATTTGTAAAAAGCCTTTGGACTTCTCAATACTTGCCCGCATTGATGGGAAAGCAATTGTATGGTTATATAGAGGAGATATGGTTATATAGAGGAGATCAATAGCTCCTCTTTCTAAACATTTTCAATGTGGGATCATTTACTAAGGGGGGCCACCTTTGTCTTCTTCTTTTTTTTTTTTTTTTTTTTTTTTTAATTTTAAATTTATTTTGTATATAGTTTTGTTTGGATTATTATTATTATTATTATTATTATTATTATTATTATTATTATTATTATTATTATTATTATTATTATTATTATTATTGTTGTTGTTGTTGTTGCTATTATTGTTATTATTTTAATTTTATTTTATACTCGAACAATAATATTATCAATTATATTATATTATAGAATATAATATCATATATAATATTATCAATTAATAGATTTTATTTAATTTCTATTTGACATTTACTTACGAAATAAGTTTTGAATCTCTATATTCATAATTACATTACATAACTATATGTTCATAATAATGCTCACAACACTATGTTCATAATTATAGAACTATATGTTCATAATTGTTGAACCATATATTCATAATTATGAACAATTTTGGAATCGTGTCTACCTTGCAAGGTGGACACAATTCCACAGCATAAATTATCGGGTCAATAGTACTAAAAAAAAAAAATCTTTGGACTTCTCAATACTTGCCCACAATGATGGGCAATCAATTATGTTTGTAAAAGGAGATTTGCTCTTCTTATATATAGGAGCTCAAGAGCTCCTTCTCTAAACATTTTCAATGTGGGATCAAATGATACATCATTTACAAAGGGGAGTCAATGGCACCCTTTTGTCTTCTTCTTATTTATTTTAGTTTTAATTTTATTTTGTATATCGTTTTGTTTGGATTACTATTATTATTATTATTATTATTATTATTATTATTATTATTATTATTATTATTATTATTATTATTATTTATTTGATTTTTGATAAATTCGCCAAAATTTTAATAAATTTGTCATTTTAACATTTTGACTTTAATCAAAACCTCAAAAAATTATATAGTAACTCAGTAATTTGCTCCAAATGGCTAAAAACTAATACAACACATACATTTTGTGTTAATCTTTCACAACCCTCATTAATAATAAATAAATAATAAATAAATAAATAAAAACCAAAATAAGAATACAAAGTTGAGGCTTCTTAAATAAAAACCTTTTGACATCTCAATATTTGTCCACATTGATGGGCAAAAAATTATGTTTGTAAGGGGATCATTGCTCCTCTTATATAGAGGAGCTCTCTCTTTTCAAACATTTTCAATGTAGGATAAAAATGATATCAAAATCATTTACAAAGGGAACCCGTGACTCCCCTTTGTCTCTTTTTTTTTTTTTTTTTTTTTTTTTTTTTTTTTAATTTTAATTTTATTTTGTATATAGTTTTGTTTGGATTATTATTATTATTATTGTTGCTGTTGTTGTAATTTGATTATTTGGCAAATTCGTAAAAATTTTAAGAAATTCGTCTGTCTAACATTTTATATTTTATCAAAACACCAAAAATATTATTTAATAACTTAACAATTTGCTCGAAACTGCTAAAAACTAAAACAACTCATATACATTTTTGGTTAATCTTTCCCAAACCCCCTAATAAATTAAAAAAAAAAATTAAGAATCCATTAAGATAAGTTTCTTTTTAAATAAGAGACATTTGACACGTTGGGTTGTAATAGGTTGTGGAACCATGTCCACCTTGCAATTCTATGTTCATAAATACTGAACTATAAGTTTATTATTACAAAGCTATATATTCATAATCTTTGAACTTCATATTCATAATTATTGAACTCTATATTCATAATTACAGAACTCTATGTTCATAGTTATTGAATTATATGTTCATAACTATAAAGATATATATTCATAATTTTTTAACTTCATATTCACA